AGTTATGGGGATTTTAAGTTGTGGAGGTTTTACTATTGTCCAATAGTTTTGGCAAAGCCTTGCCGTTTGAGTCTTCTTAGAGGTCTGGCAGGTAACAGTCCTCTTGCGAGTAGATTGCGGTGTCTCAACAGTCTGTCACTGTACCTGCTTGTGTGCCTGCCAATCTGCTCTTCGACAGTATGCAGCTTTAAATCTTTGTGTAGTGTGGATCCGCGTACATACCAGGGACAGTTTGTGATCTGTCGAAGTACTCTATATTGTATTAAGATGTAATTTTTATTACATTAAGGCACAATTCCTTTTTGAGCTCCACGAAGCATTCTAAGCTCGAGCTTTGAATTTATTTATATTAAAAATGAATTTCAAGAGCATATTTCCAATTAGGGCTTAGAGTGTACTTATATAAGTGCAAGTAGTGCAATTAGTGGTACAAGTACTGCATTTCTTAGAGCACATGTTTACAGTGAGTGTTTAGTAAATGTTCCAGACGATCTCGGTCTTGTAGGCATTGTTGTAAGTAGAGCCTATCCAGCTTAATCTGTATATATACATAGATATATTAAATACAAATGTGATTTTAGACAAAAGTCTAGAGCTGTCGTAACTCTGATAATTATAAGCACTCTCTATCCTCTACGTATTCTCTCTTCGCATTTCTGCATTGACGCATCGATTTAGCTGGAACTCAGTTTGAAATTGAAATAATTTCTGTGGCGGTTGCGTGACTTTAAGTGAAACGCTCATTATAAAAACTTTTTACAGGCGATTAACGGAAAACGCCAAGGTTCTGGTTCTGCATCTGGGTCTGGGGCTGCAGCTGCTGCGCCTCAGCTCGTGGACCACTTGACCAGGTCCGGGAGTCTGTGTGGGTCTGCAATTTGCGCTTGCCACACGACTTGGCTGCTTTGTCGCAGCGTCTGCAAAGTTTTCTTTGCCCGCCAGGACAAAAGGACGCACAGACTTGCTCAAGCAGTCGAGTAGGGGGAGGGGCTGGCGGGGCAAGGCGTTGCATACTTGGAGGCGCCGCGGCGTATGCAATGTCAATTTATCATTTATCATTGTTTTTTGGAGGGAAAAATGGAAGCTGGGAAGCTGGGAAACTGGGAAGCTGGGAAACTGAGAAATGGGAAATTTATGTGCGCGCATTTTTAACGCAACATTTAACGCGAAAAGCGGACGGGCCAAGTCGGAAGTCGATGTGAAAGGAATCAAGCGCTGATTTACGTGGCGGAATTATGACAACAGCTCACTTAGAGTTGCTCTCCCTCCCCCAGCCAGTCCCTCGCAGCTGTTTACTCATTCCATCTCTCTCTTCTCCTTCCCATTGCAGACGTTCATTGTGCGTGGCTCCAGCCAGCCGAACACGATGGCCGTGTCGGTGCGCCTGCCCCAGGACACGGGCCCATACATCGAGCACTATCTGATCCAGTCGCAGGACAACATACTCAGCCTGGAGAGCTCACGCTTCAAGTTTGGCTCCATCCCAGCGCTGATCGCTCACTACGCCCAGTGCTGCGACGAGCTGCCCGTGCAGCTGATGCTGCCCCGGGTGCTGCGCGAGGCGAACAACCGCAAGAAGCTCTCGTCGCTGGCGCTGCTCGGCCAGGAGTTCTGGAGCTATGCCAGCAGTCCGGCTGTGCTGGGTCCGCCCGTTGCGGCCAAGACAAATCTCACGGCCATCGAGCAGCAGCAGCAGCAGCAGCAACAGCAACAGCTGCAGCAGCAACAGTTGCTGGACGCCAAGTCGCCGCTGTCGCTCACAGAGACGAGCGGCCTGGGCACGGCCACGTTCTTCAGCGATGCTCTGGTGGCCAAGCCGCCGGCTGTGGCCCCGCCCCAGACCCTGTTCAGTCCCACGGGCAGCAGCCAGCTGCTGGGCTTCTTCAGCCAGGCGGGCACGCCGTCGGACACCAACTCGAGCATGAGCTCGTTCACGACCAGCGGCGGCCAGCACATGCAGCTGCTGAGTCCCAATTCCGTGGACTCGGTCATACTGACCATGTCGCCGGTGGATGCGCAGGGCTATCTGCCGGGCGGTGGTGGCGGCGGCGGCGGCGGTGGCTTGGAGCAGCCACTGCAGCCGCATGGCAGCAACAATTTGAGCACCTTCAAGACGACATCGGCGGCTGTGGCGAGTATTACGGAGCTGGAGCAGGTGCGTCCGCAGCGACCGAAGCCGCCGAACACATTGAATCTCAAGCCGCCGGCGCCGCCAATGCGCTGGTCCAAGCCCCACTCGCCGGATCAGCTGGGCAACAACTTTACGGTGACCACCACGGTCACCTTTTCCATGGAGAACAACAACAACAGCAACAACAACAACAACATTGCCAGCAATGGCATCAACAGTGCAGCCATGGCCAAGCCGAATCCCGCCCAGTTTGTGGAGGTAACAACGCCAGCCGCGAGCAATCCCTTCAACGCGCTGCTCAACTCACAGGCCAGCACCAGCACGTTCCAGACCTTCGCCAAGCGCCTGTCGCCCGAGGGCGAGTGCAAGGATACGCTCTCATCGCAGGGCTCCTCCTCGAACGACAGTCGCTGGCAGTCGCAGTCGCAGTCGCAATCGCAGTCGAGCCGCGACTCCAGCCACAGCCAGCGGAAGATGCTGTCCCCAATGACGCCCAATGGCGCTGGCCACCTCCTGCCCGGCGTCGGCAGCACCAGCAGCAGCAGCAGCAAGTCACGCAAGTCGCGCATACGCAAGGAGTCCAAGCACTACCAGGAGTCGGACATACTGGAAAGCCCGCCGGCGCAGTACTGTGCCAGCGCCCTGAGCGACAAGATCAGCGACTACGAGGACGTCTGGACGCACGATCCCAGCGATCGGGCTAGTCTCCTAACCAGCTTCAAGCCCGGACTGGACAATGGCGGTGTCTTGAATCGACGACCCGACCTGCTGGCCGAGACACGTAAGTAGAGATTGCACTGAAGGAGCAAGAGCCCCTCTCATCTAGACTCCATTGAAGATCTAATCCTTTATTGCTCTCTCTCTCTCTCTCCCTCTCTGTCCAGCAGCTAGCACACCCACGCAGCAGCAGCTGCTGTCACCCTGCGAAGAGACCAGCGCTGGCCAGGATAGCAGCCAGCAGCTGATGCAGTTCTCGGGCGATGCACCGGCTCGCTCCCGGGCCGGCCTCCTCCTGCCGAATCTGGGCAATGCGGCGCCAGCCATGACGCAGTCGCTAACGGAGCCGAGCGCCGCCGATGATGGCGGAGACACGACGCCCACTGCGGCACAGACGCCGGGCTCACGCAGCAAGCAGGGCAGCCCCACCTATGCGGAGCCGGCGGATGCACTGCGCCAGGCGGGTCTGACCAATGCCGCGGCGGCGATCTTGCGCAGGCAACAGCGCAGCCAGCTGCTGCCCGCCAATCAGCGGCACTCGGAGCCGCTCAAGGGCGGCCATGCAGCGGCCGCTGTGCCGCTGCTGCTGCCCGCCGATCTGGAGAAGTTGGCCGGCAGCCTGGACGAGCTGAAGCAGAAGCCAAAGCCGATGGCTCAGCAGGCGGCGAAGCGTGGACGCACTCGCATCGATCACTGGCAGCTGGACAGCAGCTGGGAGTTTATGGCCAAGCAGGAGACGAACGGCGGCGGAGGAGGCGGCGGCGACTATGACACCGCTGTCGACTGGCAGGAGAAGGAGAACTCGCTGGGACGCGACAAGGATGGCTCCAAGAAGCGGCCGCTTACCGTGCACCAGATCATTGCCAAGCGTCTGCCCGATCTTAATCTGCCGGAGCTCGTGCGCTGCTCGACTCCGCCCCAGATGCCGGCAGGAGCAGCAGCAGCAGCAACAGCAACGTCGACGACGACGACGACGGCGGCAACGGCAACGGCGATAACGACGAGCGCAGCCCCGCTGCAGGAGAAATCGAATGCCGATGGCAGCCAAAAGTCATTCCAGAGCCAAAACGGCTGTCGACTGTCCTCGTACGACAACGTGGAGCGCAATTGTGCCGCATTCTGTCAGACCTACTACGGCGGCATCGACTCGGCGCAGTCAGACGATGGCACTGTCTTCTCCGAGCCCTGGGACTCCTCCCAGTGGGACTCCTTCATGCCGATGCAGGATGGTAAACCTAGCCAACACCGTCCTTATGGATTGTCCAGCACAGCAGCCTAACTAATCTGTAATATCCACCTCTTTTAGATGCCACCATCAATTCGGATACCATACATCTGTCCAAGTGCCGGCCGGCGCTCTCGGAGGATGACACCATCATTGAGGAATTCAGCAGCACCAAAGACGGCAGCACCAGCAGCTGCAACCAGGACACGCTCAAGGCCAATAAAAATGGCACCAGCGCCGGCGCTGGCAGCAACAACAATAACAACAACAACAGCAAGCAAGCAATGCGACCCAAGGTGGCAACCATTCTAAGGAATCCAAGCATGCGGGATCGTGAGATATTATGTGAGTATGAAAACTTAAACGATAAGGCAGGTGCTTAGAGGAGTGAGAATGTGAGAGTGAAGATGGATAGTCGATCGAGTTGATTGCACTGGTCGAGTTGATGGAGTTGATGGTATTAATCGAGTTGATGGAGTTAATCTATTGATGGAGTTGATAGAATTGATCGAGTTGATCAAATCACTCGAGTTGGAGTTGATGGAGTTGACCGAGTTGATGGAGTTGACCGAGTTGATGGAGTTCATAGAATTGTGGGAGTAGATCGATGGAGTCTACTGACATTGATCGAGGTGATAGTTGTCCAAGGATCTTTGCATCTACAGAGCATGGCAAACCGAGAAAAGAAAACAATTGTTGCTACAAATTAAATACTACAATAAAAATATAAATTTTTGGAATAAACTTTTCCATATGAGTTAATGAAGTTGATAATGATCGAGTAGATCAAATTGATGGAGTCTACTGAGCTTGATCGAGGTGATAGTTATCCAAGGATCTTCGCATCTACAAATCATCGCAAGCCAAAACAAATAAACCTACAAATTAGAAATTTCTGGGTTGAGCTCTTACATGTGAGTTGATCGAGTTAATCGAACTGATACAGTTCAATAAGTTGATGGAGCTGATGGAATTGCCCAAATATGTTCAAGGATCTTCGCATCTACAGATGATCGTAGGAATAGAAAGGAAAACAAACTAAATTTCTGGAGTAACGTCTTCAATATGAATTGATCAAGTTGATAAAGTTGAGCAAATTGATCAAGCTGATCGATCTAAATGATGTTCCATCGATTGTTGATAGTTATTCAATAACAATCCAAGGATCGTCGCAGCTATAAATGATTGCAATTACGGAAACCAAATGAACATATTCGTAAGGAACTATTCAGATTTCTGGATCGAACACCAAGTTTATCTAGCAATGACTATTATCAATGTGGCTCTGTATACTCTCGCCGGCACTTTATCAATGGACAGCCGATCGTCATCGTCATCATCATCATCGTATGCTCAATTGCAATCGCTTGTTATTGTTGCATCATACTACGCTCCACGGCCTCCATGGAGCAGCAGACAAAAGCAAATACAGGTCGATCACGAGCGATCAGACGAACGACGGGGCGATGCGTCGTCATCGTGCGCCTATTGACTGACTGCCTATTTGTTTGTTTGTTTGCTAGTTTGTTTGATTGATTGATTGAGCGCACGGGTTGCTCGTTTACCAAATCTTAAGCAAACGAAGCGTCCACGAGTGGAGGCTATCGTTGAGCGAACTGCTTCGAACTGGTAAACCGAACCGAACTGAACCGAACCGCAGTCTGATTATCAGCATCGGCCGCAGCTTCAGATGCTGCCTCCGCCTCTACCCCCGCCTCTACCGCCGCCTCTACCCCTGTTGGCAGTCTGGGGACTACAAAGTCTTTGCCGAAACTTATCTGGCGCGCAATGCGTGCTGCATCGACACATATGCAGCAGCATGAAATGCGTCGCAGTTAGCCAGCTAAAACAAATTTGATAAGTTTCAGGCGTCGGACATAGAATTATATAAATATTGGTGCAGTCATGCACTTTGGAATGTAAACTCGACGTCGACTGCTGCCGCCGCTGCCACTGCCTCTGTCTCTGCCGCTGTCGCTGCTGCTGGCTGAGTTTTTATCAGCGCGCGTTTTAAGACGCGCCGTGTCTCTCGCCGCTCAATGGGATGCGTAATTTGCCAGGCCAGGCATAGGAGACGCGACCGATTCGAGTGCTCAAGCCAGACTTTTCGAATCGGTTCTGCGCTCTATTTTAGGTCAGCGCATGGCTGATGAAATGCACACAGAGAGCTACGCAATGGGTGGCAATTTTATTTTTGGCGTCTGCTCAGTCTGGGTACGGACTATTTTTAGATTCGGGTCCACTCTAAAAGACACGTGCTCTGGCTTTTCTCCAGCGAAATCCAACTGTGTTTGCTCTAACCAACAATTTCGCGTTGTCAAGCACGATAAGCAAGTGGATAAGCAAACGGTTCGCTGAACTCACCGATACAAATTCAGCTAAAGGGCACCTTGATGCACCGTTATCTGGACGGTGCAGTAGAGCCGTAAATAAGCCGAACGGAAATCGTCGGACACCTGGAAACCTGCCCAACTGCCGGCAAAGTAGATAATACTGCAATTCAATAGAATTTCGAATGAAAGTGGGCATGGCGAGGCGCCGGAAAATCAAATAAATTAAAGGTTCAACTCTACCGGCACCGGCTATTTCAGTTATTATCTCTAGTAATGTATTGTCAGAGTTACTAAAGTCTGATATGTAAGATTATAGTTTAGTAGATAATAAGTCCCAAGTGTACGTGAGCTCACAGAATATACAAATCCCCTGGTAAACATATTAGAAAGGGTTACACCCCTTTCTATGAGCATTATAAATACCTTAGTTTCCTTTTCATATACAACAAATAAATCGCTTGCATAGATTATTATCGCTGTTAGCTCTAATCTCTCTGTTCCTGAAATAGCATCTCTCTCATTTCTTGAATGTTGTGCAGCCTCTTGCGAGGAACACTTCCTGCACACAGACGCAAACGAGCACCTTCACAGAAACCTCCAATCCAAAGGTTTTTCCAAACTACGCAGCAAAATAACAACAACAAAATCGAAGCAGAGCAAACCAATTCCTCAAGCTGAGTTTAGGATTCGTAAAGCTGATGCAATCGTAAGGTGCAATTGCATTAGAGCGGGATCTCTCGCCGTTTTCATTGTTGTCGATTGATCGGGGAATCTGTCGTAGTGGAAACGTCATCGCTGCCAGACATTAGACAGACTGTCGTTGAGAGATTCTCTCTCTTCCCTCTCTCTCTCGCTCGCTCCCGCTCTCTTTGTGTCATGCAAGCGTCGAGCATGAATCAACTCTTTATCTCAATAGCCTTGCATAACGAACACCCAGCGCTCGCTCTCTGAGGCTCAGTCGGAGCTCTCCCTCTTTCTCTCTCTCTCTGTCTCTCTGGCGCAATCTGTGGCCTACCTGCAGCAGGTATTTCAATTTGCATGTTGAATGATGATAGAGAGAGAGAGGGAGAGAGGGAGGGCATTTACCTAAGCCAGCATTGCGTTTCGTAACCCACTCAGCCGCTGACTCAGTGGCATTTCCTCTTGACACAGTTTCTCCTCCACTCAGGCAGCTGTTCTTTCTGATAAGGCTTTGACTTTCGCTGGTTAGGACTTGCGCAAAATCGAAAAGAAAAACTTGTGTGGCAGGTACTGTCCGTCCGGAAATTCCCAGTTTACCCGGATTAGCAGTGGCCCGATCCCTGCCAGAAGCTACCTGCAGGCAGGCGGGCTGGCGGGCAGGCGGTTTGATGGGGCGGGCGGGACAAATTGACGAATTGAGGTCGCCGCGCCTCGCAATTTAGGCCGCAGCTGCGACGTCGGCGTCGCGCTAGTTGCTATCGTTTCGTAGAGGCGCAGCGAGCGTCGGCGTCGCTGCCAACGTCAGCGTCATCGTTATCGTTGTTGCAGTCTTATAAACTAATGCGTATGAAGTTCAGCATTAGTTTTGCATTGGCCGCGTTTAGAGCAACACAACGCAACGGCAATAACAATTCGCTACAACAACAACAACAGCAACGACAATAAATTAATAACTAATTGAAATCGATCTGCAACGCCGTCGATTGTCGATCGATAACACCAGCAGCAGCAGCAGCAGCCCCGCGCCCCTCTTCGCAGCAGCAGCAGCGTGTGCCGATGAGAAACTTGCGTTTTCGCCAATTCGTTTTAGCTGGCAAAAATCGCTACAGAATCCATCATGAGCTGGTTCAGAAGATCGTCGCGCGCACACCCCGCGAACCGCCCCGCCCCCCTCGCGAGGGGCGCTGGCAATAGCATAGACATGTCAAAGTCGCTCTGCAGCCTGGATGAGCAGCGCATCGAACGACTCGAGCCAGAGGAGTTCTTTCACGATCCCGTCCATGTGCGCCACTACAAGGAGGAGGCGAAGTTCCTAAGCTTTATGGCCGACTGGGAGATAGTCGATCATCCGCAGCAGGAGAATTACTTTTCGGCTGACTTCGAGGAGGAGCTCCTGCAGCCGCAGCAGCAGCAGCAGCAGCAGCAGACGGTGCTGTGCAAGAAATCGAAGTACGCCAGCAGCAGCCTGTCCAGCATTGGTTCCATATCAACGGGCACAACCACCACAACCTCAAACACATCGACGACGACGACGATGACGACGATGACGACGACGGCCACCTGTCCGCAACAGGTGCTCAAAGACTGCCGCATCAATCGCAAGCAACTGAAGACTGAAGCACTCGCCGGCTCCATCATGGGCGCCATTGGCAAATGCCCCAATCCCGAACTGAAGCCTACCGTCGGCGGCACCGTCTGCCCGGACGCCTGCCATCCCGGCGAGCGCAACACCTGTGATCACTACGATATCAAGCAATTCTTTCACCTGGACGACCAGGGCAACATACTGCTCAACATGGCACACATTGTCGAGTGCCGCGCCCTGGGTCTGGCCCTCCAGGCCCAGAGCCGTCGCCTCTATCTGCGCTATCGGCGCGGCTGCGAGTGCGCCGACGAGAAGCCGTGCGATAAGCCCGGCTGTTGCACGCCCTTCATCTTATTGCTGCGACTGCTGTGTCGACTGCTATTCGGTAAGAAGCTGGAGAGGATTGCACCCACTGACTCATAGGCGATCGCGCTCTCCCTCTCTCTCTCACTCTCCCTCTCTCTCTTTATGCATATACCATACTTGTCTCTGTTATCCATACTGACGTCTCGCTTGCTTGCAGGCCATCCCCGGAATAAGATGAACATTCAGAGCGTCGGGCCGGGCGACTCGCTGCGCGCGTACACGCTGCAGTTGGCCCAAGATCCCAACTCCACGTTCGCCCGCAACATTGAGAACTTCATCAGCTGCACCAAGGAGTCGAGGGAGGCGGCGCCCCAGGTGGTCATGCGCAACATGCGCCAATTCATGAGCGGCATGAAGAACTATTTGGTGAAGCATGGCGAGGGCAAGTTCCATGCGGAGCTGGAGTCGGCGCGCGCCCGCCTCAAGTCCGATGAGTTTCTCAACTTGGACGCCATGCTGGAGACGGTGATGCACCAGCTGGTGGTGCTGCCACTGCGCGAGCATCTCTACGGCATCTTCGTGGACTACTACAAGCGCAGCGAGGACATTCAGCTGCTCGCCCAGAATGTGCGCTACGCTTACGAGCGGGATGCTTCCGACTTTGGGATACGGCCCACAGTGACGCCGCCGTCGCAGTCGGCGCTGCGGCTCATCTCGAATCTGCTGTGGCGTCTGCAGGAGGCCGAGCTGCCGCTGGACAAACTGGAGCTCTTCCTGTGCGTCATATCGACGGTGTTCGATGCGACGGGCTGTCCGCGGGGCCAGCAGCTGGGCGCCGATGATTTTCTGCCCGTGCTGGTCTATGTGGTGGCCAAGTGTGGATTCGTTGGCGCCGAGATCGAGGCGGAGTTCATGTGGGGTCTGCTCCAGCCGACGCTGCTGAATGGCGAGCCCGGCTACTACCTCACCGCCCTCTGCAGCGCCGTTCAGGTGCTCAAGACGTTCATGGCATCCGAGGGGGAGAGCGGCAGCGGCTCACTGGACGTAAGTACTCCAAGCCACAGCACCAACTGAATGCACACTTATCTCTCTCTCTCTCTCTCTCCCTCTCTCGCCCTCTCTCTCTGCTGTTGTAGTGGCGCTCCAGCTGCTTGCCGGCCTGCTCGAGCGTGCTGCGCGTCATCATACCGGACGAGTGCAACGGCTCGCTCCAGACTCGAACGCTGCCCGTGCGGCCGCACACGACGACGCGCGAGGTGTGCCGGATTATAGCGCATAAGGCGCGCATCACCAATCCGCAGGACTATGCGCTCTTCAAGCTGGTCGACGGCGAGGAGACGCTGCTCACCGATGCCGAGTGCCCGCAGGATGCGCGGCTCGCTGCCAAGGGCAAGCACTGCATGCTCGCCTACAAGCGCATCGATGCCAAGATTGCCTGGCCCACGGCTGCACAGCCGGGCAGTCATTGATGCCACCGGCCACGCCCCTTACCTACTGCCAACTATACCCATACCCATGCTCATACCCATACCAGCCATGCCAACCGGCCTCGCTCGCGCCCACGCCCACGCCCCCGCCCCTTTCCCTCTCCCTGTCCCTGTCCGTGCCCAACGGCCCCATCTTGCTCACTAACAAGCATATTTGATTAATAATTTATTATTATTACATTAAAATATACTTAGTAGCCTGTAAGTAAAGCTAATTAACGCTAATACATCTAATGTGTACTAAACAACAACAGTATTGAATTAAGAGCGGTTTTTTTTTAAATATATTTTTTAATCTCATCTCTCGCCAACAACATTCAAATCATCAAAACGTCATCAGAAACATCCAGAAGAAAAGATCGAACAGCCGGTTCGCAATAATTTTTTTTGCTAATAAATATACGAATATAAAAACATATAAAGAAAACAAAATAAAAACTATGTATACAACTATATATACTACATAGATATATATATACACATATATATCATATATATGCGTAGTTCGTAGTGGGCCAAAGGTATAGCACAAGGCCATTAATTATAGACGTAATCCCAGACAGACAGACACACTCACACACACACATCTATCTATATTGCACTCCTTATAGGCAATTTATCTAAAATACATATATGATCTTTAAACTCAATAACAATCGATGACCAATTGCAGCAACAAGAAAACAATCACAATTTTAATGCAAAACACACACACAGACACACACACATACATATATACAAAGCAAAGCATTTATAGCTATCTTTTTCTACTTGGGAGGGTTATGAAAGCAATTAATCACAACATCTAACACATTTACATATACATATACATGAATATGTATATACATATATATAACGTATGATTAATAACGGTTAACTTTAATATTTATGTACAACTAAAACCAACAACAGCTATCGAAAAATGTATTTTTTTTTTGTTTTTTTTTTTTTATTGTATACTTTGTAAAATATGGCAAACCACAAGGCAATTATTTAATTAATAATAAACAATAATAATGGAAAATTTTACAATTTGTCTTTCATTTCAATTAAATTCACGGGCAGCCGCAAAGTAGGCAACAGTTTTTTGCAAGAAATTGAGTTAAAGGTTGATGTATATTTTTGTAGCATACTTTTAAGCGGGTGAATATATTTAATATCAATTTTCAAATATTTGTGGTACTCCTAGAGCTTAACTCAACTATGAATTATTCCATATTTGAAAATGTTAATATGATATGATACTTTGATATGATGAAATCACTTGCCTTCAAGCTCAAATATTTACGATTAGATTCTAAATAAATGTGCAAATTTTGATTAAATTATATCAATTTAGACTTCTGATTAAATTCTAAAGAAATGTGCAAATTTTAAATTTAAATTTTTATCAATATGGGGTACTTGAAAAGAATTTAATGAAATGAAAAAATTGCTTGAATTGCGAAGAACAAAAGTTGAAATGAATCATTAAGTAAACCAAGATAAGCTACTGTTAATTGTTAAATTAAGTGCTGCAAAAATCGTCACCTGTTGCCTAAGATCTCGACTCTTGTTACCCATACAGCACACATATAGAGCCTAGATCGGGGGCTATCGCATACTTGGCGCCTGTCTAAAGACGTGTCCCAGCTTTCAGCACTGTGGGTTCAACAATAAATGGAAGACGACGCGACAGATAATTGATAATTGATTTGCCAAATTGATTAGGAAGCCAGATTTTGAGAATCAACTCAGCTCGAATGCGCACACACACTCACACACACATACACATATAGGCATTTTGATTATTGGAAAATGAATTATCAACATGTGCGCCTCGACCTATTGTGGCTGAGCCAGTGTCAATGTGCACATGTATGTCCATATATTTTGTTTGTTTGAATTGATTTATATATTTTGCGATTTTCGCCCTATGCAAGAAAGAAAGAAAACGATTTTATTGGCCCGTCGCAATTTGAATCGTTTGCACAACTATTGCTGTTGTTGCAGTTGCTTTATATGGAATATTTTATTTTGATGGCACATTAATTAAGGTGTGATAAGGACCACACACACGTACACACACACACACACCTACACACACCCACACACATACAAAACTGACGGTCGCTCAACCCACAAATCAAAATGAAATAAGTACGTGCACAAAAGCGCGCACAAATCGCGCACGCGACTTTAAACGCGCCGAATAGCCGTAGCCCCACAGCCAATTATAACCCCAAGTGTTGAGACAAACGGCCGCCACTGTCCCCAGTTATTGGTACTTCGAATGCCAGCTGCTCATAAATTGCAACAATTCCAATTGATAATCATGTACATATACATGTACATATATGTACATATATATGCCTCAAATGTCACTCTAGTCTCTATGTGTATGTATGTATGTGTGTGTGTATAAATCGCAAGCTGATCGCTGCCAAAGTCGTGTTAAACGCTCTTGCTCATATTTCTGTATTTTTGGCTTGTGGCTTATCAGCAGCGCTGCCGTCAGAGACAACAACAAATTTAGAACAATAACAACAACGACAGCAGCAACAAATAATAATATAAGAATAATAAAACATGAGCTAAGAATACTGGAGAATTGGGAGTGATCGACTAGAAAACGATTTCCAAATTTATTTCAATTCTTAAATATGTTTGATCTATTATTTGTTATTATTTTATATTAAATAAAAGAGACAGTTCAATAATTTTACAGTTTTCAAAATCAATTTCATTTATTTTCGATTTTATTTTTGTATTTCTGAACTTTTTCTTAATTAATTTTGAGTCTTTTGTCTATTTTCTCAACTTATCAGCTGCGGTTGCCGAAATTGGCATGCAAAGTAATATAAATATGTCCGCTGGACTTCAACCCAAAGGTAACAGAATTTTGAACTTGTAAGGCCTGCAATTTTTCCACTCCTTAAGGTTCAAGATTGATGCAGTTCAATAGGCACTCAGACTGAGATTTATCGATCTGCATTCTTCTTGCACTACGGCGGGATCTGTTACAAACACTGGCATGCAAATGATATGCTCCATCAGTTGGGGCACTTCGAGTGGGTTGAGGGTATGGAAAGGTCCACTGACGCGATAATAAAACATTTTTGCACCCCAGATGTGCTCAGCTGCTCGAGCCAGACGCCGAAGTTGAAGTCAGGGGGAACACACCAGACCGCTGGGAGGCGGGGCAAGGGGCGGGCTGCGGATTCTTTGATTAGACGTACTTAAGTACAAGGCAACAACAACCATGTCAACTGCTAATAAATATTACTTTCAGTGAGTGAGTGAGAGTGTGTGTGCRAGTGTGTGCGAGTGTGTGTGTGCGACTCAAGTGGGCTGTTTAGTAAATTTGTCGCGGGCATTAAGAGTGCTCCAAAGTTGGCTTGATAAGTAGCGATCATAAACGTAGTCGCGTCGAACAATTTGATACGACCGAACGAACGACAGCCATCGACTGACCTCATGCGAATGCCCTCCATGAGTCAGAACAGTCCTTACCATCTTCGGCATGATGTCATTTTCTGCACTGCCATTCACTGCGAACTGACCTACGAATATTATTATAAAAATTAATTTTAAACAAGTGTTTTATTATGGCTATTTAATAATCTCATTTATTTATATTGGGCTAACTCTCGATTGTTGTTCAGAAATTTGTATTTGGATTTTTTAACAATCTAAATAATAATTGACACTCAAATTAAGCATTCATTAATTTGAATTCCAAGGTTTTTATAATACAATTATTGTTTTTGTTTTTTATAGATGCTTAATAAATCAGTATTTATTT